AACTATAGAGATCGACACGGATCAGCCCGATGTTTATTCTTGGCTTCGGACAATAACGGTATCCGTTTTCCTAGTTTTTAAAACATTGTTTTAAATTACGTAAACATGTGTATACAGTATGCAAATACTTTTTATATAATATATAATTAATTCTAAATACGGTATATTATAAACATAAGTAATTTTGCTAAAATCATATCGATATAATTTTATAGTTCCGAAGGGGGTGGGGAGATTATCATGATTACTGTAACTGTATAACATCATTTACTGTATAACTTGCATTATGCACTTTGAAGAAAGTTATCTAAATATTAATTCTTTGATAGTAACTTTTTTAGTAAGAAAACACAATAAAATTCTAAAAATATTATTATTCTAACGTATATTTATTGTATTTTTTTATCAAGGTATTTTTGGGATTGATAAAGTTTAATTGTCAAATATCATTATCGTTCTACAATAAAGTTTAAAAAAAAGAACGCATACAGTATCGATATCATCGATATAAAAAAATTTTATCTAAAAACTTTCAATACTTTTTAAATGAGTCTCAGAGGCAAGCTTTATTATAAAAGGAAAAAAAATACGCTAATGTATCCGTAAAAATCATTTTTATATATAAACTTTAACCTTGTTATTATTAGTTTTTTTTTCTTTTGCATGAGTATAAAAAAAAAAATTTTTTTTTATGCACATGAATATATATATAAATTTATAGAAAATTTAAAGTAGGTGCATGATCTTGATACCTGCCGTTTATTTACGTACGTACGTACGTACTGTACGTAAGTACGTATCAGGTATCAGATAAGTAAATACGTACGTACGTAAGTACATTTAGCGTTAATTTTTTTTTTCTTGCATTTCAAAAGAAGTAAAAATCATATATAAATTTATTTTTTTTTTAAAAACTAATTAATTTTTTTTTTTTTTTGATACGTATTGTATTATCAAATTTGCCAACAACCAACTTACCAAATTCGATTCAAACCTATTATTTTTTAATACAATATGGCAAATAAAAATGTCACGAAAAAAAATAACATTTTTTTTTCTCTTATAGGTTTCAAAAAAATTTTGATATATGCGATATGAACAAACGAATAATTCAATAATTTAATGAAATTAACCAAAAAAATGAAAAGTGACTAACCAAATAAGGAATGTCATACGGATATTTCGTTGGCGAAATATCTAAAAAATCTAAAATATCTAAAAGATGCCAAAAATCTTTTAAAAAAAAAAGAGATTAAACGTTAACGAAACCGGACCACAGTCAAAAATGAATAAAAAAATATATAATATATATAAATACAGTATATTCAATATTTAAATAGTATTTAAATAGTATTTAAATAGAAAAGATGAAAAAATCTTTACGAGGAAATTGATAGCGTTTTTAACAATAATTTAAGGAAATTGAAAGATATGGGTGCATTGTGGTAATCATTTTTTTTAATATTATTGACATTACAAAAGTAGATTAGGCAAAAACCGAGAGTTTCATGGTATCTTGTCGATAGTAAATAAATTTAAGGTTTAGTAATTAAATATGATCCGCCATTTGCACAAAACGCCCTTGATTGTTTCATATGCTTAAATTCATGTGACGAATAGAGAATCTTTTTATGGTTTGATCCTTCTTTTTCCTAAACCAAAAAAAAACTGAATGATTATATAAAAAAGTGGTTGAACGGCGGTGCGTGAGACTTTGGTGAGATTTAAACAACAAATTTTTTTAGAATCTAAATTCCAATTTCGAAAATAACGAAATTAGAAAACATGTGTTATTTTTACTACTCTATAAGGAATAATGGTTTAAAAAAAGTAGAAAGAAAATCAAAAGAAATTGTAATTTATTGAAGTACAAAAAGTAGTGAAATAATGAAAATTAAGTAAATTAAGTAATATATATTCTTTTATTAAAAGTTCCGAATAAGTAAGAATCATTTCAAAACTAACAAATAACAATCAAGTCATATGAACGATTTGAAGTGTAACAAAACCAGGAATTATGGATGACGTTAGGTAAAAAAAACAGGTACTTAACAAGCCTGGCGTAAAATTTTTTTGTTTGTGAGACGTACGCCCAGACTCTTATTCGCGTCACTGTTTATGCACTCTAAAAATGGTTCTCCAAAATTAATCCCAATATATCATAAATCAACACATACGTGTAACAAACTTTTTTTTATGCAATTATGCTTTAGTATTTATTTTATTTTATGTTATTTATGTGAAATGCTTTCATTTATTTTTATTGGCCTTTGCTTTTGTGCCAATTAGTTCCCATTTGTGATTTAGTAAATTTCGTAATCTTGTTACATTTTAATTGAAGTACGTAAGTACTGTACGTACGTACATATCTGCAAAAACTGTTGTGATATCATTAAAAGGATCAAATGCGGATCAGGTAGAAGAAATCCCCTTGACATACTTACGTAGGTTTGAAAATTTTACTTATTAGAAAATGTGCACACAATATGCGCACATTTATTGATTGAATGATTGTGTAAGATTTTTTAGATAACAAAGTCAAAAAATATCATTAATAAAGTAATAAATAACTACAGTAATTACATTAATAATACCGGTAATTTCTTTTTACACAATTTGGTAAAATTAATTATTTCTTTTAAGTAGGACACTTATTATCCTCTCTTGTTTAATTCGTGTAAATTCGAGCATTTTGATTTTTTTTTTTAATATTTAAACGAAAACCGAGAACTTGGATAATTACCTTAATTTATAATTCATTCATTTGGAACTACCTTTTATGGTCACGAAATTAATCACAATCTTAATCACGACCTTAATCACGACCTTAATCACGACCCTAATTACGACCTTAATTACGACCTTAATCACGAGCTTAATCACGAGCGTTTGACGTCACAATGTATTCGTCACTCGCGACCGAGTCATGAGTGTCACGTACGTACGTACATACCAGATACGTACGTATAGTAAGTACGTACGTACTTGAATGAACATACGTATTGTACGTAAAACTGTATGTACGTATGTACATACATATCAGATACCTTATATATATTAATATGTATTTATATATATGCATGTATGTCTACTTCTGTACAATTATAATACATGTTTTAAAAAACCGGAATATACAGATGAATTCAAGAGTGTCATGATTCGGAATCAAAGCCTCACAGTTTTTTAAATTTTCCAAGCCTCATCATTTTCATCCTTTCATACTTGACCCAGATTTAAGAATAAACGAGAATTTCATTTAAAATATAATAATACTGTATACAACTTGACTTTATATAATTTTATTATAAATATCTGATGATTTACAGTATCAGTAGTATCAGTATCTGGTATTCTGGTATATATTATAAAAATAAAATAAAATTTTCACGTAAGAAAAAAAAAACATGATTGATTTGATTGATTTTTAATTGATTCAAACAGTGATAGAAAAAACTATAATCGCGTCACTTTCCCATTTTACCATTTCATTATTACCTGTCGAAAAACCTGTCAATTAAAATTCCGATATATTTGATATTTAGAAATATTAGGTAATAATATCTCTCCCCTGTAATTGATCATCGATCACGAGGAAAGGGGAAATGGTTGATTATGATCATCGATATCGTCATCATAATTCATCATATTCATTATAATTTAATCTTAATTCATTTTCATTGTAATTCCCGTATTTAACTTCTTAACCGTTTGACACTGTTTTTTTTTTTAACCCCCCCAAAAAAAGATTTTTTTTTATAAATTTTTACGAGAGTGAATAAATTTATCCGAATGACTGGTTCGTTATGGGGGCACGCAAACATCAATAACGATTAGATCGATCGATCGTCATAATCATCATATTTCATCATACTGTAATCATAATGTAATCATCATAAGCATTATATTGTTAAAAAACGTTTTTTTTTTCCTTTATAGGGTTTAAAAAACGGTTAATAATAAATTTTAACAAATTATAGATTAAATCGAAGTTACACGCGAGAATTTGAATTTGAATTTTTGATTCTTCATCATATTTACAGTATCTATAACTGATAACGAAATTGAATCGATTTTTTTTTTTTGATCCACAAAAAAAAAAAAAAAAAAAAAAACTCAATGTTCACACGCGTTTTTTTTTTCTTTTAAATTACAGATTAAAAGCCAGAAAAAATTTATATATATTACATACTATAACAGGAAATTTAACAATGCTCTTATCCAAAAGGGGTTTAAATGTGTATATGTATATAAAAAACTAAAATTAAAAATGTTGATTTGTATAAAATGAAATTAGAAATAAAATAAAATAAAAAAAAGAGAATTAGGATAAGAGCGAGTGGTATAAAAAAAAAAAAAAAAGGATACAGAGAAAAAAAAATAATTTTCTTTCAAAAAAATTTGACCATAGGGTGTTTGATTTTATAACTATTAGCTAGCGAAATGTTTTAAATGCTTATGGGTTTTGTTGTTTGCTGCTTGTAGCGTATGATTTTTTTTTTGAAATTATATATATGCTAGCTAAAAAACATATTGTTGATTATATGTATGTATATATATATGATTTTTAAATATACACACATATATGTATATTTAATACGAAACATGGAAAATGTGCACAGACATTGTGCGAAAAAAAAATTGACATAAAATTGAAGTAGAAAAAAAAAAAACCAAAAATCACCTACGATTATACCAAATCTTTCGTTCACATGTTGCCTTATTTACATACGACAATCATACTACTAGTGCACGATAAGATATTTTATGATTTTTTTTTGTCACGAGAATATATATATTATATAAAACAAGAGAAAAAACTATATATATAAAAGTTATCAAAAAAAAAAAAGATATAAAAATAAAAAAAAACAAAATTTGTCATAACAAAATCTACCATGAGATATAAAATCCCAATCTGCAATTATAGTACCGTTGAACATTTACAACAACGCTTTAGATCGGGAGAATCTCCATTCTTTGGTTTTTTGAACATTGCATTATATTCAGACTTGAGCGGAATATACCGACATTCTGAATTCGTACAAACACATTTTGTCTTCTTATATCTGTGTATTGTATGTTGTGTATGTAATAAATATATAAATATATAATTATGTGATTAGTATTAACGTATAATTATAATTAGTATAATTAACATATTATAATTTAAAACATAATTTAAAACATGTTATAATTTACTAATGTTAAAATTAACACAATTTAAATTAATAAAAATTTACAATACCTTAATCCGCAGCTATTACACAAGAAAAGATCTGGACGCCAGCCAGGTCTCCAACATGGTGTACTGCGAGTTCTACAACTTGCACAAACTTTAGTTTTATTACCAGTTTCTCTACGATGCGTCATATGTAAAGTTGACGAAGAACCCGGATAACATTTAGAAGGTGAATGATCACCTTTACGTTTCTTTGTTGGAGGAGCAAAATCAGGATCATCTTCATCATCACCAAAATTATCCGAATTAAGATCATAATCACTTAATTCAGATGTAGGAATAGATGATAAAGAAGAAACAGACATTGATGCACGACGTTGATTAGAATTTCGATAATAAGGTAAAGAACCATTATGTGAAGAAGATCTAATTGATTGTTTTTCACCACCATTTGTGGAAATTTGATTTGATCTAGACAATTGTGAAGTTGAAAAATTTTGTAAAAATTTTTGATTATTGTTGATTGCTGCGGTACGACGTGACGAATTAGTCACGAGATCATCAACATTTTTAATTGATCCATTATTATCAGGTGAATCAATAATATGATCTAATCCAGTTAATTTTAATAATTCTAATTCTTGACTTTCTCTTTTATTTTTTGCTCTAGTAACAGGTCTAGATCTCATTTTAGATCTTCTAGCTTGAGAAATAGATTTAATAATATCAGGTAATAAAAGTGGACGGTGAATGATAAAAGCTGAAGGACCAGATAATTTATCATGAAGAGACATTGAAGGAATTGAATCTTTTGTAACACCATTAATTTGATCACCATTATTCATAACATCATCATCATCCGTATTACTTTGTTGTTGTTGTTGTTGTTGTTGTGATGAATGAGAGTCAGTGATATTATTTGAATTAATTGTATTATTTGAATTTGTATTGATATTGGTTTTGGTTTTGGTTTTGGTAGTATTGTTTGTACTTATATTTGTTGAAGGGAATAAAACTGGGAAACAAAAAACCATACCAGGATCACTTTCTACATCATCACGATTAGGAGATCTAAGAGGTATACCTTTACGTTTTCTTTTAGTAGAAGTAGTAGTAGTTGTTGTTGTTGCTGTTGTTGTTGTCGTTGTCATTGTTGTTGATAAAATCGAACTAGCGGTAGAATCAACAGACTTTGTTGTAACATCATTAATAGTTGAAGAAGAATCAGCACAAGGAGAAGAAGATCTCACAGAAGTAGCACAGGATGATAAAGGATGAGAATCAGGAATTTTAATTTGATGAGCAGCAGCGACTTGAGGAATGAAAGCCGGAAGAAAAGAATTATGTATAAGATATCTAGAACCGGATTGAATTACAGGATCAGGACTCGTTGGAGAAGATGGTTCATCGGAACCATCAGTATTATCATGTACAGAAGGAGGAGCGGTTAAAACATGACTTGAAGAATCCTTTTCGACATCCCTTTCCGATACCAAAAGATTATCAATAAAGAAATGATCTTTTCCATCAGATGATTCGGAGGCAGGAGGAGTCGGTATTCCAAAATCAGAAGACATAATAATTATAATTTCTATAATTTCACGTGAACTATAGTAGATATAAACTATATATATATATATAATATAATATATAATATAATATATATATATGTATATATATATAAAGAAAGAATACAGATCAACGATCAGTAAATTTGGCGGAGATATAATCAGATCATACGTAATTTTGATAAAGTAACAAGGCGAATAAACACGCAATGGACCATATAAAATCGGAAACAGACGGATCGGACAGATCGAATTCGTAAATCAGAACTAGCCGAGGCGTAGGAAGAAATAACGAAATAAATCGAAGAGATCGAAGAAAATCAAAGTTGATAGCATTCATCGGGATCACGATTGATTGGAATTAAAATTTTTTTTTTTTTTAATTGATGTTACGATAAAAAGGAAACTTCTAAATAGTTAGTTTTTTTTTTTTCTTTCTGAATAACAATAATAATAATGATAATAATAATAACGGGCTAAAAAATATTTAATCAAATCGGATCAAGTAATTTTTTCGAGCACGATGAGATGCATAAATAATTGCGACGATCTATTAAACTAGTAAAATGGTTTTTTTTTTAACGCATTATTAAAATGGGCAAAAAAACCAAATAATAAAAAGTTATTTTTAAAATATTCGAAATATTCAAATATTTGAAATATTCGAAAATTTCGAAAATTTAAAAGTTTTTAAAAAGAAATAATGAAAAGAAATAAAGGGGAAATGAAAAAGAAGAGTTTTCAAAACAAACGATCGGACCAGTAAAGATTCACATTTCAAACAGACAAGACGAAACAAACAATATTTTTTTTTTGTTTCTCGGAGACGAAAAGATTATTTTAAAGAAAAAATGGATAATTTGTTTACCTGAGGAGGGCAAACTTGAATTGCGGTGAGAGGAGTCGAACCGAGTTTGATAATAAGCGAATATCGAATATCGAATATCAAATATCAAATATCAAATATCAAATATCAAATATCAAATATCGACGAAAAAAGAAACAGTCTAAAAAAAGAGTTGATAAAAGTCGATATAAAAGATGTCTAGATATAAATAGGAAAGATTCTAAATCCACAAGTGAAAAAGATAGAGGGGTGGGAATATAAAAAAAAAATTCGAGTCGTGAGTTAACCAGTAACGAATATATATATTCTAACAGCTTTGGATTTTCTAGTCTATTCGATAAGTTTTTTTTTTTTTTATTTATTTTATGTATTTATATTAATTTTTTTTTTATTTTAAAAAAAAAAATGAATCTACGAGAGAGAAAGGATAAAAAAAAAAAAAAACGATTTTTTTTTTTTGATTTATTGAGTGGGAGGAAATTTAGGTATCTTGTCGTGAACGGCAGTTATATATGTAGTGTATCAGAGCAATATCTACTTTTTAAAAAAGTTAAGATTATTATATAAATATGCAAAGAAAACAGTGTGTGATGATATAGATATAAATAGTGTTAATTTCATGTTACACAGTATATTTAGTTTCTACAGTTCTAAGGATAAGCATGAGTTGGAGTAAACTAACAAAGTAAAAAAAAAATTTATATATTGACGTACACCAAAATTATAGTAAAATTATAGTGAAGTAGTGAAAATAGTGAAATAATAGTGAAATGATGAAGGGTGAAGTAAAATAAAAAAAAAAAACCAGTTGAAGAAGCGTACGATTCAAACACATCTTGAAGAATGTGTGAATGATTTTTTGTGCAAAATATCACAAAATCGAATTACAGGTTGACGAAGCACTAAGGCAACACAAATAAAATCCGTATATTTTACATTATGCTCTCTTTAATTCTCTTTTTATTGTATTTATACATATTAGGTGGTCTCAATAATAATAATTAAAATTCGATGATTTAATAATTAACTTGATCAATTATTATCGTTATTTTATCGTTATTTTTTTTTTCTTCTTTCCACTTTACTATCTTTTCTTGATCGTCTCACATCTTTCTCCTTTTCGTACTTTTAAGAAAAAAAAAAAGATTCGCTATTTCGGTAAAAATCGATGAGACGTTTACGGTTAATTAGGATGGGCGGTTGGTTCATGTCAATCAACGAGCGACTATTAAGAGAAATTAATAATATTAGCGCATACTTTTGATGCATCTTTTGTAATTGAAGCAACCAATATCAGATACGAATGTGTGTTAAGTATATCACTTATACATAATTCTAAAGTATATCAGACGCATGATTTTGGTAAGGATATGCGAAACACTTTATCGTTTCGTGTTACAATTTTATTATTTTTGCCCACATTTTTTTTTTCTTTTGCTTGTTACTTGCGTAATAAAATATATATATAAAAAAAAAGGTATTTCATTATATATAATATATATATATATATATATATATATATATATATATATATTGATATATAACTTTATATTTTTTTTTTCTTTTTTTAAAAAAAAAAAAATTTTTTTTTTCTCATGTATTTTTCTTGCACGCGATCTGTTCTTAATTTTTTAGGTCCAAATATAGGGATGTATTAAAATCAAAGCAATTTTGTTAATGATGTTTCTTTTTTCAAAGTAAATGATCACCGAAATGAATTCCGAATCGGAGATCCCGAAATAAAATTAGCAAACCAGAAAATTCGATAAAGATAACGGAACACAATTGATGATCGAAGATTTAATCGTGTAAAGTTTAAGGGTTCGTTCGTCGTTCATCTAGGCGACAGATACAACATATGATGCATCTGCATTGCCGCCGGAGGGGTAGCTCAAAGAATTATAAATGAATTATAAAGTAAAATTATAAATTCGTTTTATTTTTAATAAAAAAAAATACGAACGAGAGGAATATCCATCCATCATAGGTGACACATCGCACGACCTTATAAATAATAAATAATAAGTTATATAATACAATATTTCGTAGTACCGCCTCTCTATATACTAGTAATATCAGAATATAGAGAATATATAAAGAATATAAAATACAGAGAATATAAAATGTCCGATATTCAATCACTCACTACGTATACTTACTGTATTTCACTATATTCACATTCACTCAACTTTATATTCTCACTATTCATTATATATATTCGCACTATTCACACATTATATTCATCACTTTATTTATTCTTTTATTTACAATATTAGGAATATTAGGGGACGTTTAAATGTCTGTGAGCATATTCAGGTACGTACGTACCCACTTATGTACATATGTTAATTTGTTTGTGCGTACTTTATCTTTGTTGAAATAAAATCCACAATACATCAAATACATATACGATATGATAATGATACATAACGTACATAATCGTACGTTACGAGATTGAGAAAATTTAGTTAAACAGGTTTCCAGGTATCACAAATTTCTTGGTTCAATTTTTTTTAATAGAAAATCGTCATAAATCATCATTATAAGATGTCGTGATTTTTAAAACATTAAAAAAATAAGGTGATCTTTAAGGGGGGACTTTTTCTTCTAACAACTACTAACTACTAACAACTAACAACTACTAACTAACTAATAACAAC